AATCTACTGTAGACATTGCAGTTTTAAATAATACTATATTAGTTTAACTTGAATTTTTAGTATCAGTTTTCATTAGATACTATCACAATTTTTAAATGTTATAAATAGAAAGTGACAGAATATAAACATTTTTATTTAAAAATAAAAAATATATATTAGCAACTAGATATATTCGTATAGGTATTAAAAGCCATATTCCTATTTTCGATTTGCAACTTTGAATCGTAAGTGGCTAAACACTTCGGAACTGTGCGCCGCGGCCTCCGCTGATAAGATAACCTTGCCTTTCAATTTATTCTACTGAAACGTAGCAACGTCTAGTCTAGAAAAACATTCTTGTAATTACGCTTATCAGCTCTCGTTATATTTTACATTAACCACGTTATATCTAAAGTGTACAGTTCACTAGTATTATCAATATAGAACTCATAGAAATATAAATAAATCAAACTGATTAATAGTAATCGAAGAAATATAGAATTTCTTAAACCCAAATATAACAATAGATACACTCTAACAAAAAATCTGTTGACCGTGCAATATTACCTACACTATGGAGTAGGGGCTCTAATTTGCTTTTGAAGTGAGAGGTGGAGGCGGGGTACAGGTACCTACCTCATTCTCAAAGGGATCGTCTGTAGGTGAAACCCGTTTTTGTTTATCTCGGCTGAACGACAGCCTCCTCTTGAACAACTTCATCTTTGAGACGTGGTCGCCGGCGGCGGTGCGCAAATGTCATCTCACGAGCGAGCCTCAGACGATAAAACACCACATCATTTGTTTGTTACGACATCAGTTTAAACATTTTCAAAGTGCTAATAAAACTAATAATAACACGTCGTCTTTGAGTCAAAGACAACGGTTGTCACGCATTGTCACTGTGAAGTAGCTAGTTTGCCGCGATTTTTGGTAAAACCGCGTAAACTGGCCTAAAAAGCGCCGACTAATGTTTATTATTGTAACACGTGAGTTGACCGGTGGTCGCGCATGCCCGTGTGGGTGTATAGTGTGTGCGGCCAGGTCGCGGGCACGCCGCGCACTGGCCGGGCCGGGCGCTCGCGACCCACCGCCGCAAAGCGTCACCACGGCCGCACCGTGGCCGCTGACGACCGCGTCGCCTTCGCACCACTACGCTACTCCGATCCCACCCCCGAACCACTAACATCGCCCATTTATCATCATCAACATCCATTAAACCCCTCACAAGTTAATCGACTTGCACAAGAGATTGACTATATATTTATGTACTTGCGCTATCTTCGCCCAATAGTTACTAATTTTATATCTAGTTAGTACTTAAATTAGTAAAATAAATTAGAAAGTACCATCTTAAATCTTTTATAATTATCCTAATAAGTATTATATTTAAGCAAAATTTGTAAATATTCATGGATTCATGAATAGTACGAACTTTAAACCTACGAATATTAATTACATCGTAGCCTTATATCTAATAAGCTTAAGCTGATAAGCTGAAATCAAATTATTTTTAGGTAATTTTAAATACATGACTTTATAAAAAAAATCACGATAGCAGGTTGTCACTATTAAAGCCACATAAAATTTAATTAAACGAAGCCTAATAATATCTAAATCTGAACTAATAGAAGGTATTGCTTTCGTAAGCTTACCTTCAACTGCGTAAACACAGCATCCGCAATTGTCATAAACAAAGTTCTATAAACGAGCCAGCCATAGAGTTACTTTCAGTTTGATGTCAATCAAAGCGCACGTGTATAATAATAGGTGCCCACTGTTTATACTACACACATCGATTTAGGCATCAATCTAAATGTAAACGCATTTGAATTTTTAATCACTTGAAGAATTTATAGTTTACAAGCATTTAGCAGTGGCTTTACTCGGGTGCAATTTTTTTTTATTTATATCAACATCATCATCATATCAGGGGAGTTTTGCCAGTACTCGCCATGCTTAGTAGACGGATTATCAATCGTAGTTAGGCTTTGGTGATATTTTAAGAGCAACGTTGCTGCTCATCTCTCGACCATTAAATTTCCTTAGTCGCTTCTTACAAAACGCACGAGAAAGAAATGCTGGCTCTTTCTATGCCGGGACTACACGGCTGTCCTATTATTTATATCATAAAATATAACTACATGAAATTATATGAAAGGCATAAGACCTCATGCAAATAATTATATTTTCTGTGCATTTAATATTTTTAAATTGCAAATTTTATTATTATCGGGTGAGCAGTTAAAAGGACCAAGATTTTTTCAATTTATATAATGTTTTTCGATGTCAATTTTGATTTCAACCCAAAAGTTAAATATATTTTCTCCAAATCGATACGATTTCCGGGACTTTTACCCAATCACAACTTATATCGTTTTTCGTTATGTTTTCTTCTGTTCCTCTTTTCTCACTCTCCTTATCTTTTGTTATGTCTTTTCATTATTGTAGGTTTTTTACTTTATTATATATCTCTATAGACTAATAATAATAATATTCTTTTTTATTACAGGTAACTACGATCCATTTTTGTTAGTAACAACAATTTACAACTATTAAACAAAATTTCCACAAAAATACCCAATTTGACAACACTGCATTTGTAATACATATTATTAATGATTATATGTGAAATTTATACTATTTTGTATAAGTTTTATATAAATGCACAGTTACATGTCTGACTTAGTTAGCTCCAACATGACAAGTATGCATGCACATTTGTGAAACTACTGCAAATATTTTATTTGCAACAAATTGAAATTGATTGCAGCTACAGAGTCTGGGCGTAGACCTGCAGTTTATATCACTTATAAGTAAGCAAACAGTACTTCAAGAAACAGAAAAACAATGTAGGTTAAAAGCATTTCAGTTAACTCTTCCATAATCATTACAAAGGTATAATACGTACGATAAAATGTACTTAATTTACAATAGCAAATTTGGAGCCAAATATAAGCTCTACAATTGATTTCTACAATAATTCTGCAAATTATTAAAATTATCATGATAAAAAAAAACAGTAGGAATTATCCAATCCAAGACATTACTTATATATCTATTGTACTATCAACCATAATAATATTTGTCTTCGTTAACTAAATAAAATTTAATAATTAAGTAGGATGACTTCTGACTCCAAACCAACGATTAGAATAATATACTGATTGATATGGAAACTATATAATCATTACCTTTTAAGGGGTGTTCAATAATAAAAACTGAATATTTTTATATCGTAAAGCATCTTTAAAAGATTGCTAATGATATGAGCCATAAGTAAGTCCGTAATACAGTTTCTCCAGGATAATAAAATCTTACAGGAACTAAAATATATCATTACATCCTAAAGGGTGTTTGGTCAGCAATCAAACAGGAATGGGAATGTGAGTAAGGAATGTAGCACTGCGTCGGTGTGAACCTGCTAATGTTTGTATTGTACTTAGCGCTTTCTAAATCCTTACTCGAGGTTCATTTCTCTAAGCCAAGTATTTTACATACCTACCGTAGGAGTAAGTAAGTTATGGAAAATTATGAACACTGAATGCCTTATAAAATGATTACTACAAAATATATAAATAAAAAATAAATATATAAACATAGATATATCACACATCAACGTCTAGTTCCCAACTAATTAAAGCTTATTATAGGTTTGGTATAATGTAGGTGCTATACAACTGACATATTTGAATATTTTTTTATAAAAACAACATACCTATCAGATTATTTAGTATGTTTATTTTGGTAAGCAGGTAGGTATGTGTTATTAAATGATAATTAAGTAAGACGAAACAGTTTAAATGATTTCGATAAAATTTAGTGCACAGCGTACAATATTTCATCAAAAATATTATATTCATAGGAAATGTAATATATGTGATATAAATATGAAGATGATGACGTCGTGAGCCACGCTATGACCCGCCGCCGGTCGTGCCACTTTCTTGTATGCCACCATAAACGTAATGGGGGGTAATTTTAGCAATTTCCAGCTGCCAACAAACCTTTATATCAGCCATATCTCGCAGCTCATATCCAAGAGAGTACCACGAGCACCGAATATGAAAGTTAACGATGCCGACTCTGGGAGGAGGTTACAGAAGTAATTGCAGTAAATTTATTTATTCTATATAGGTGTTTACAGTCATTACCGGTTAAATATCACGTAGTGGTGGTATAATTTTTATAATCATTTCATTATGATAACTGTAAAATTTCATAAAAGACTGATAGCGTTTCTTTACATGCCGAGCTTCGCTCGTAAATTTTACTATATCCTTGATATATTTATATAGATATATTTTCATTAAAATAGGCAAATTAAAATATCCGTAAATGGTATTAACCATTTATGGACATTTTAATTTAATTTCTGATAAAATTGGCTTTGTTATGAAAACATTATGCTTTAATTTGATAATAACGTTGACGACTAATCGAAGCAAAATTTTAATCTGCAAAAACTTGTAAGTAGAATGTAAATTTTTATTAATTTTTATAGAATAATGCAAGCCATTCAAAATACTGATGATTTTAAAAATTCTGATTTCAATTAATTCTTCTTGGAGCCCATTGTTCAGTTTGACGAATACTACCATTGGCTTCAGCTTGGTATCTATAATATCAAGTCAAGTCTTCAGAACCGGTGACATGTATGCATGAGACGAGCTATAAAAATAAACGAAGCAAGAGACGTGTGAAAGACCAGATGCCTTTGCTATACTTTCTCCTGTTTGTCCCGTAATAATAAATAATCGTACGCCGGTTTCTCTCCCTGGGGCCCTGAACCCCGGCCAACTGTGCTTCTGCCGGGGGTTAGTTTGCCATCTCTTCTCCTTAAGAGAGGAGACGTGAATTAATCGAAATATTTAAATAATAATAATAGTCTTCATTGAATAACAAATTACACCTAGTTACATCTACTAGCCACCGTTTGCCCCGAAATGAACCTGGTATGAAGATAAGTTACATTTAACTATAGTTAGTGGTTATATAGAAGTATGTTCTATATGATTACCCACCGAGTTTTGTAACTGTTCTAATAGTTGTGCTGCATTGGCCGGGTCTGCCAACTCTATGGCGCCAGACACCTGCAACAAACAAATCCATATTTTAGCAAAAATAGGTTAGATGCTGCATCTTACCTGGGAAGTCAACATACTCTTTGGTTTTTATTTTCACTTGTAAATTTAATTTATAAAATTTATTTTAATTTACTTGTAATTTTTTTTTAGTAGTTTTTAATGTCTTTTTAAATTACAATACGTAAACTTCAATGCACTAAACTTATTGAATAATCTTAGTATTCATACAATAATCTGTATTATGTTGTCATAATCCGATATTAGTCTTTCTACAAATTACAGATGTAACTTTCAGTTATATCTTCTGTTCATGATTGAAATTTGGCACAGTAATTATTTAATATTCCAATCTGGTATGAGGTTGTAAATATCAAATTATCAGAGATGTAATTTTGAACTACAGGAAGTTAATCTTTCTCTTTAATTTAAATTAACACTTTTTCGAAAACAAGCTATAAACGGAATCTTGAATGCAAATGGAAACACGAACATACATAATACGGTACAGATGAAGATTATTATTAAAATTGGGTTACGTTTGATAGTTATTTTTAAAGTTGTAACAATTTAAAAGCGAAGTGGATTATTGTTTGCGCAAATACGAATACACTTTACATCTGGTCGACTGTTACTCGTATTCAAAATGTAAAGATTAACCTAAATTAGAACAACATTTGGAAGTCTTGTCGTTTTCAAAATCATCTGTGGTGATATTCATGTGGTGACAGATTAAGAACTACCGACACTATTTTCACAAAAAAAGGACATTAATAAATTTTACAAATTTCAGTAAAACATAATAAAACGTTTAAATAAAAAAATATAATATATATAATATAACTCGGTCTAAAAATCTCATGTTAATCGGCTGAATAATTTGATATAATTTCCTCTTTTTTTAAGGTCGCAGTTAACAAGATTACAAGATACGATTCATTCTCATAATCACTTATCTACAAACACTTGTTGCCGTCGTTTGGAGTAAAATACTTCGCTCCGAGATGACTGGGATAAATCAGGAGAAAAAAATAAGAAAGATAACGCACAAGCGAATTGATAAATAAATTACACTCTTCCTTTATCTCAAACCTCGAGATGTGATCAGAGGTCGTTATCATCCTTTATATATTTTATTTAAATATAATATGTTTTTATGTAAATACATTCATATTAAATTTAAGTAAATACGTTTAGGTAAACAAACTTGGATTATTACGTAATATATTAAATCGTAAACAAAGTTTTTTTTCAAAACCTTTATAATATAATTTTAATGAAATTTCTACATAAAAAACATTTAACGTCAAATTGTACATTTTTTTACTAGATGCGTTATATAGCTATGTTAATAATATTATGCAGAGATAATTATATATATAATAATTCATTATGAAACAGATTCTGGGAAGCAACTGTTGCTTACTACGATATATGTAAGTAATGTGTAATGTAATTTCTAATTAACAATATTTAGAAAAATGTGCATTCTCCATTCATAATATAAATAAATATTTTTATATACCTACTTACAAACACGTGACATAATCACTATATTCGTATTAATCATTTATAATTGGACTAGTTTCTACCCGCGACTTTGTTCGCGTGACCCTTATATGCGATATCCTTCCTTTCTAAAAGATATGAAGTCATCGAATTGTAAAAAAATGTTTCTATAAGAAAGTAGATATTTATGTATTCCCTCTTTGTTGCCGACAATTCTAAAATTGTTGTGTCAATGATGTGTTGTCATAGGCCTCCGGCTATTAGCCCAACGCCATAGAAAAATGAGAAATGTACCTATATATTTCAACAAAAGTTAATTAAGTACCACTAAAGCTAATGCTTATACAGAGATAGCATTAAGTTTTTGTTATAGAAATAGAAAGGTCTATCTATACGTAATGAAGGAAACCTTGGTCGTTCATTAATATTTACTACCAATTTGTGGTGTTATAAGTGGCAAATAAATCTTGCTTGTGCAAGAAATAGGGCATGGTTTGTCTCGTTTGTACGAAGAAATGAGAAAGAGCTATGGATACACAATAAAATTATATGTCTTGTGAATCCAGATAGATGAGGTAGAATATTGTTCGTGACAAAATTACTAAAGACTTCGACGCTTAGAAATTGGAAGAACACCAAAATATATCGGAACAAGGGTTTGATTATTCAGGTCTCACTTATAATCTATCAATCACTGGTATCGTGCTATTCGTATATAAGTATATTGTTAATCTTATTGATTTAGAAAACGTCGTGGCCTATTAGTTTAACTCAAATCCATAATTCCAAATTATGTAAAAGGTTCTATTCTGAAAACTTAAGATTAACTCTTTAATAATAGAAAAAAAATATCCTTTTTGTCACCAGATGGTAAGTGACTACCGCCGCCCATGATCCACAACACCAACGGCATTGCAGGTGTGCTGCCAGCCTTTTAGAAAGGAATATGCTCTTTTCTTGAAGGTTATGATGTCGTATCGGTTCGAAAATACTGCTGCTGAAAGTTGATTCCAAAGAGTGGTTGTGCGTGGAAGAAAGTGCCTTGAAAAACGCATGGTGGAAGACCGCCACTCCGTCTATCTCCGTCACTCTTATCTAATTCGATGGAAGACAGGCGTAACAAATATACATACATTTATTATAAAAAAAAAAATTGCATGTAGGTAATTCATTCAGGGCTTGGATTTTATTGAGAGGTGAGTTATCTGCTCATCTTAAATTCCCTGAGTCACCTCTTACGACACCCACGGGAAAGGTGGCATACTCGATTATAGCCAAATATTATCAACGAATGTGATAGAGTCAAGAGCATATCAGACACAAGAGTTTGTAGAATATCTTGTTATTATTCGTGTTTATATTTTTAATACCTAATACCAAATTGTAATTAAGGGCTCAAGCTAAAATATTTTTAATGACCATAACCCATTGAATAAAACATGATACTTTACGTATTCAAATAGAGATTCTGTTTCTTATTCAAATTTTGTTAGACTTAATCCTTTTACAAAGTGGATCTTTTGTACCTGAAAAATTTTATCATCGCCTTTCTAAATAATATATGTATAGATACTTCAGGTTAAGGTTTCAAATAAAGTTATACCTAGCATCGTTTAATCAGAAAAGCTAGTTCTCTAATCGTAACTAACTAGTAACACTTTAAGTACAACGTGATACTTTTATATCAGATTATACCTAAATCAACATTCTAAAAAAAACAAACTTTGAATGACACAAAATTAATATGGGTAAATACAATATGAAAGTAAACCATATCGATTACATAAGAACTTGCAATGGCAAACAAGCCGACTGCATGGAAAAGTGTTATAGTAACTGTCGACTAATAAGACATGAACAATGGCCATCAAAAAATAAATTGTGATGCGAAAGACAATATTCATAAAATGCCATTCTTAAGGACTTAATATAAGGTTATATTGCCATTTTAAATTTCATAAAGGATCATCATCAACCTAACATACTCACAAAAATAAAAAAAATACAGTCGAATACAGTCCTCCTCCTTATTGAAGTCGGTTCTCCAACAGGAACTTAATTTCTTTTTTCTTTTAGATAAAATTGGCGCTTGTGACAAAAGTATACTCGAGAAATTATTCAATTGACTTATTTCAGGAATCGTAAATCGGTTATTAAATCTCTTAGTAAAGGCCTTTACTAAGAGATTAAAATGCAAAACATAATATCGTAAAATTTCATAGAGTAGTTCTAGGCTAGAGTATACAAAATAAGATAAAAGAATAGATTACGGTAATAAATGTAGGTAATAGAGTTAAATAGAGAAAGTGGTAAATAGTCCGTATCTGGACGTAAAAGCCCAGTATTGTACCTGAGAAGGCAGACAGACTGCACGATTCAACCGCCCAAGGGCACCAATTTGTGGTTATTGTCTTCCCGGCGATATCTACTCGCATTTATCAAGGGACAATGCTTATATGCGTCGCGTTATTCTATTGTATGTATTATAAGTAATATTAGTAAATAGACACGAATTCTGACCTGTGGTGGAATGGTAGAGCGCGATGCTTCACATTGCATCTTTTATAGGATCTTTTATTGGACATATTCTATGTTAGCATGTTTCTAAGTGGTTTGCAATATTATCTTTACCTTCTATTAGTATAGTTAAATATAAGGGTTATAATAATCATGGTACACTGTTTTTTAAATAAGCAGATACCTAAGTACTTTTTGACTGTTACAACAGCGCGACGCGACGATGAATTTGCCGACAATTTTTTATTATTGTTTTCAGAAATATATTTCAATAGAAGCCAAAACTACTAAATCTAAAAACGTGAAATATTTCACAGAAGTTCCTTATGAAATATGAGTGAGCATTAAGAAGAAATTTCCCGGGTAAAGCACCGGGAAACAGCTGATATATACCTAACAAGCTTAGAGGAAATGAAGGTAGGTTGATTGATGATCTTCATCACATAATAGTCGACAATGCTTTTCATTACAATTGCAAGCATAATAAGCGTTTATCTATTTATTGCCAATTAAAATTAACAGATTTCTACGTACATACATAGTACATACTATATAGAATTAGGCATTTAAAATCATAGCAGCTAACATGCTTAACACGCAATCTTAAGGTAAAATGTTTTAAACACACTAAAGAAATAATTTTCATCAATTTTTGTAATTGTTTTCCAAGAAAATAACCTGTAGTTTGAAGAATCTCACCGCTAATGATTTAATGATGACTACAATAAATAAGTGCTGGTCGAATTACACGTAAATAATTATTTTTACCTTACGATGGTCACATAGAAATTGATGAAATTTATTTCACATTTATATTTAAAAACAGTAAGCAATTATTTAGTAATGTAACAAATGCTTACTTTAATAATTCGATTAAATTAGATTCTTTATTCATACATTTTTTTTTTATATACATATGGGCTTAACAAGTCATTTATTAAAAGTTATTTAAAATATGTAAGACGGTACTGATTTGTGATATC